CATTCAGCTCAGAGCTGCATATAATAATGAGTGATAACAGAGAGATCATTGTGGCATTATCTACAAATAGTTTGGAATCAAATGAGTAGCTTAGGGCTAATAAATGTGGTTTGTTAGCTGTAGTTTGACTAAAGTTGAATGAGTAGAATTTGGACTTTTTTGACAAAGTGGGCAGATTGATTCAGCTTTCTTTCTATGTCAGTGCTGACATAACCGTCATGAAAATGTACATTGAATATGCATTTTTTGCACAGGTCTAAGATGTTTCTTTTTTATTTTAATTTACATGACTGTACTTAATTTTATCCAATCCCAGTGATTCTTTACAAAAAAGTCATCTAAAACTGCAGAAATGTTCCTTTGAACATTTTCTAAAATTAACCTGTTTACTCTCACTTCTGAAACATAATAATGAGCGATGACGTCACCCACAACACCTACTTCAGCCGACAACATCCACACGTTGCTGATGTACATTGGGAGTCCCATCCACAGCCAGCAAGGGACGTGTGACGCCAGCGTCACTAAGCCAGAGGATAGCACAGAAGGTCGGGGTGCAGTTACGCTCCCTGAAGGTGCAATTAGTGAGTCGCTACAGGAACAATGCTAGACAGGGTTCCTCCTCTGAACCAGAACATTGTTACACTAATTAATAACTCAGTCGCGTCACTGCAACTTCAGCTCGACAACAACAACAAGAGCAGGAACAGGAAGAAGCTGTGTTTTAATTAAAACAAGTGATCGCTAAAAGTTTCCTACACAAACACAACCTGACCTTTAATTTAGCTTCCCACAAACGCCGAAAAATAAAAGTGAGTGTCTCTGGTTAAACCGCCATAATGCAATCCACCCGTCATGTGACCGTGGTCATGTCATGTAATGCCTGAGTCTACATATATCAACACAGTTTTGCCAAAGCAACAAACAAAGTTCTTTATAAGTGATGAAGCTGTTTTTCTTTACTGGATTTTCTTCAAAGAAAAAAACATTGCTAGTTTTTGTTGTTGGCCTTCTTTTACATTAGTAGAAGGATTAATATTTCAGTGTAAAAGCACTCTGCAGCAAGAGCTGCATTCAAAATATCACATAAATAAAAGCTGAATCGACAAAATGTGGTCAAAGCGTCAAGCATGAAAGTGCTGAATGCAGGAAAAAATCTTGTGGAAGTGTTAAAAAATTACACAGCCGCCTTGTGCCAAGAGTGAGGCATCAAAATTTAAATATTACGTGTCAAAGTCAAATCATTTTCAGCAAAAATCTGATAAATTATAAATATTATTTATAATCTTATGATATAACTTATTATGTATAAGTAAGCAATCATTTTATGTAAATGGACCAATTATTTCAGCTCTTATTGTACGTCGTCTTCAACTGTCACAGTCTCACATGCACAGAATTTGGTACCATACAAATAAAAATCTTTTAAAATTTGTAGACTATATGATGATATAATAATAATGTAATTGGGCACTGCAAATCAAATGTGCGGGTGCTTTTAACTACAGTGTGAGAGCTTTGACATGGCTTCAATCAAATTCTTACCTTCTCCTGACTGGAATATTTCACTCTACAGTTGGAGTTGACATGTCAAAGCATACTGGTGCAAATTTACCAGCACTTTGGACCACCCAGTGGAGTATAATCAGGGTGATTGGATCAGTATCACTGCTCAAATTATAATGATAAATTGTTTGGAGATACAACGATATATAGTCTCCGTTTCCAGAAGTTTGTGATCATTTTGCCAAACAAAGAAGCTTAGTATGTGGGAACGCTGTTTTTACCCTTTGTTCGCTGTTTTTATATTTTTCTGTCTTCATGTTCACTTGCTGTTTTGTTAGGTTAAAGCATCTAAACTACTTTATTTTGTTTATTCACAAAACAAGACTCTTTCACAGTGTTCACTACATGTTGTTGTGGAACAAAGCGCCGATGGGAGTCTTTTCTCATGTGCAACAAACGTCTTTGGAATTATCAAATGGACTGAGCATCAACAGTAGTGAATTTACTTGCATTTATTAAACCGCAAGAGGCCGTTGGCTTGAGTTGTTAAACATCTGATGTTTTTGTGTTGAGATCGTGCTGGTTTGACGAGCAGAAAGCAACACGTTTACTGGGAAAAAGCTCCTGAAATCAAATTTCTGAAGTCAAAACAGATAAAAACTGAAGGAAAGTTTGTGCACAGAAATGCTATTCACAGCATTTGAGTTCTCTGGATTCTTATTTGCATACATGTCCACACAACATCCAGCAACAAGTAAAAAACAACACCCAGAAAGCAGGTTATTACATGACTCATGTCAAAACATTTATAAAAAATAAAACAGAAACCAGTTAAACATGAATTTCTCACATAAGTCTCCTTAAATGCCATATATGCAGGTAATCTGCACTCATTTGTCACATCAAACTGGGAGGTGTGGAATGACCTTTTCAGCTTAATGACTGTGATAAAGTGGAAGATTAAATCTGAAATTGAACATTGGTGTCCAACCTCTACAGCTACATGTATAATACTAATTTTCAGATCTTGCAGTTTGTTCTCTGTGTAGGTTTTCAATCATCTTAGGGAGCTTGAAAAGGGCAATGAACAAAAAGTTGTTTAAAAGCTGATGGGAGTTATCCCTCGGATACTGTCCTGAGGGTCATTGACTAACCGATCAATAGCCAAGGTGTGAAAAAATAGCGTGGGTCATTTTCTTCACCAGGGTTCAGAGTGAAACCCCTGTGAGACCTTGCCTCACACTATCATGTGACCTATTGAGTTCACCTGGACAAAGGTGTTAGTGTTGAAGCTCCTGGGAAGGGATCTGAAGACTTCACTGCAAGTGGCTGATAGCTGCTGTTGTAAGCTTCCACTTTTGTTCAATGACGGTCTTTCACAGTGGACAGAGACTGTGAATCCAGGGTGGGGTAAGGTTTCGCAGTGGCTTCACCTTTAACCCGCAGTGATGGGAATGGCCTGCACCTTTTTATTCACGTGACCACGTGATGACTCATATTATCAGTAGTGGGTCAGTGACCTTCAGGTTCGTGCCCAAGGGAACAACCCTCACTCGGGTATAAATACCTGGGACTTTCCACCGCTTGGTTTTAAACTGAAGATATTCTTGGATGAAAGCTGAAATCTTCAAAGACTTAAAGAAGTAGAGTTGCCTCTTTTTTTAAGCTCTACAGACCTTGCATTATTGTTTTTACGTTTAATTTTTTTTTCACTTCCTCACTTTATTCTTACCCCAGTAATATGAGAGCTATTTCAATCATTTTATTTTAAAACTAAAGCCCATAAGCATGCTTCGAACAAAACGATCATTATTCCTCCATCTGAGTATGTTTTATTCATGTATTGATCACTGTGGTCAGGACTCAGAAATTCTGTAAAAATCCTGCTGTGAATCTGAAACAGTAACTATTAAACTCACATCTTCAAAACAAATTCACCACAAAGAACTGAAGTTAAACTGCTCTTTAGTTTCTCCTTTGTCTTTTCTTTAAGAAGAGTTTTCCTGTATACTGTGCCTGGATACATATTATTTATTTATGTAAAGACAAAAAAGGTGGTGGGGGGGGGGGCACCTGCAAAGATATTTTTTTGGATGGAAGATCTCTGGACTCCTTTAGATACAGTAGTGGAAAAAATGTTTTCTTACAGTTAGAGGGGACCTAAAATGTTCATTGCAAGTTTAGCAACTCCATATTTTTATTCTTGGACTCTAGTAGCACAAAATCTGATTTTTATCTGATAATAGGCTTTGTTTTACATGACTACATGAGGTATATCTGCTTTCTTTGTCAGCATAAAGAGTCAAGAGTTGAAAAAACTGAACCTGAGTGTTTAAGGTCGTCTGAGGTCTGATCTCTCCCCTGACGGGGACTCCTCGTACAGACTCTGAACTCATCATTTGAAACCTTGTCTGTTTTTAACACGAGCATTCAAAATTTTATGCTAATTTAAAACCTCACCACCAGATTAAACTCAAACAACCCAATGAGACAAAATTCCACATTCGGGATTTCAGGATCTCTGCGGCTCGTCTCCTCCACTGTAAAAATGGTTCCACTGAACTCAGATGGGTGTAAGCGCTCCTTAGGGAGACTGTAAACCCCATAACAGCATAAATTTTCAATGCATTTCCTCCATTTGCTTTAGATATAGATTCATATTTTAATATTTTCTGTCTACATTCATATTGCAGCCCTATATCTGAGGCTCCAAACCTGCACTACTTTGGCCTGGACTTGACACATTAGTGTGCAGGGCTGTCTCAGACATACTGTATGGGATCACGAAACAGTCGAGCAAGCACCATGTAGCAATGAGCTTTAGCTATGTGGGATGAAAAGAAACTGCACTGTGACTGAGGTCATAATCTGAGTGTTGCCGACTCGACATCCTTTCTTAAAGATTTTTATTCTTTTGGTGCAGATTCAACACACACACACATTCAAACGTGTCCATCTTCAAGCTAACGTGGAATTCCTAAAGCATGCAGTTATATGTGCAGTACATGCAGCAGACAGAAAAATGTACCACATTTAAAGTTAACCTACATATGATCAAAAATAGTTGCCTCATTGCACCTATTGTTCTATTTAAACTCTTATAAACCACTTATTAATAATACATTCGATTTTTCAAAATGTTTTTTTCATGCTTGAGGCTAAAACATTTTTCCTTGTTTTGATCTGACTGCAGCTTCCTTGAGTTACAGTAAATAACAGCCTAAAATGTGTTATGAGGTTGCAATAAAAGTGATAAAAAAAAAACATTAAAGGTCTTAGTTCAGCCTTCAGTTTTCATGCTGTTGAATTTTAATAACGATTGCTCACAGTAATTTATATTCAGACGGAATTAATTTTTGCTTATTTATCATCAACTTTCTTGACAAGTGTATCACTTTTCGACCTTTCTGCTACACTGGTGCTATTAAAGAAGAAAGTGGCAGAGTGAGACAGTAAAAGTGGATGATAACCTTTATTTTTTTCCTGCTTCATAGGTTGTCCAATTGAAGGGCTCCCTCCCGAGACCCCCCGCTGACTCATAACAAGCACAACGTACTGGTCCGGGAGCTTCATGAGAGTGTGCTCATAACCATCACTCCACCTCTGTGTGTGGCACCATGCTGTGGACAGTGCTACTAGCGCTGCTGGTGCTTCTGCTGCTGCAGACTCAGCTGTCTGTGTGCTTAAGGGAATTGCGCTCTGGGGGTTCCAGTTCTTCTGTCTACTCCCCTCCATCATCTTCTTCCTCCTTTTACAATGCTACCCAGCAGCGGCTGCCCGGAGCTATTATCATTGGCGTGCGGAAAGGTGGCACCAGAGCCCTGCTCGAGATGCTCAATCTGCACCCAGATGTGGAAGTGGCAAAGGCTGAGGTGATAAACAAAACACTTTTCACTATCACCAGGTGTGGACAATAATTACTCAGTTTGCACTTAAGCACTTAAGTGTTGTTAGGTAGTTTCATCTTCTCTACTCTAACGTCAAACTGGGATAAAATGTTCCCATTCAGAAAAATGTCTGTTTTCTTCTTAAATATATGATGGACGTCAAAATCTATTTTTATACGTGTCAAAAATTCATTTGTAGTTTTTGTTGAAACCCTTATGTGAAATCTCACATCAACATTTTTTTTCTTTTCACTTGTATATCCTTTAAAAAAAATCTGCTTTTATTGAATTGTACAAATTTCATCAGTGTGCCTCAAAACTACCTGATGGTATTCAAAGAATAGCAAGGTCAACCTCGAGAAGCTCGCAGGATTTTGTATTTAGAGTGGCAAAACTCCAGGCCAAGAACCAGACATTGGTTGGCCATGAAAAATCTGAAAACTCCAAGCAAAGAAAATAACATAGTACTTGAAAATTAGTTGAAAATTCAGTAAGTAATAATGATTGTAACTGTGGATAGACCTTCTGTGTCTGAAAATATGTATTAACAGACTCAGCTCTAACAATATAGAGCTGCACTGAAGCAAAAAATTCAATCTCAAGATAATGGAGCTAACAAAATGCCCCAGGTGCAAATATATACTGTAGAAGTGTAAAACTCTGCACTCGGAAAGTTGGAGATGCAACTCAGGCAAGACCAAGAGGGCACAGAGGCGGTCTAATTATCAAATGCGTGAGGATTTTCTGAAAGTTTAGTTCAGGCCAAACACGTACTGCATCTTCTTCAGTGCAGTAAAGAAACCAGAGCAAAGAGAGTTGAGTTTCTGTGTAGTTTGTCATGTACATTTGTAAGTATGATGAATGGTGACGGGCCTGTCCTGAAAAGCTGCACTGAGAGAAATCCTAATCAGGATAGTTTAAAATGAGGACTATGAAGTTAGAAAGCTGGTGCCAAAGAATAGATTGGTTTAGACAAGATTGGGACTAAATGAAGAAAAAAGCTGAAAGTGTTTTAGATGGTAAAAAGGTTTAGAAACTATTAGATGTCCCTAAAATTTCCTTTAAGTTTCAAAACAAACTAAAATTTCAAAACAACAGTGTCAACAAGTGGTATAAAAATGAATGAAGACCTGCTTTCCCCTCCCCCCTCCCCCCCCCCCCCCCCCCCCCCCCCCCATCTACATCACTAAATACCTTCTGCATCCTCTGACAGGTGCATTATTTCAATGTGGAGGACCACTACCGCAGAGGTCTGGCCTGGTACCGAGCCCAGATGCCCTTCACAGTCCCAGGTCAACTGACAGTGGAAAAGACCCCAGGTTACTTCGCAGCTCCTCAGGTTCCTGCACGAGTTTCGGACATGAACCCTGCTGTCCGCTTGCTACTCATTGTCCGGGACCCAGCTGAGAGGCTGATCTCTGACTACACCCAGGTTCTGCACAACCGCCTAACACAACACAAGCCCTACAAGCCCCTAGAGGAGCTCCTACTCCACAAGGGCCATATTGATCCTGGATACAAGGCACTGCAGAGGAGCCTCTATCACCAGCACCTTGCCCGCTGGTTGGAGGTCTTCCCCAGGGAGCAGATCCACGTGGTGGACGGAGATGCGCTTATTCGGGATCCCTTCCCTGAGCTGAGGAAGGCAGAGAGGTTTCTGGACCTGCCGCCCAGGATCAACCCAAGCAATTTCTACTACAACACCACCAAGGGCTTCTACTGCCTCCTGTCGTCTGGACACGACAAGTGCCTGGACGAGTCTAAAGGCAGGCCACATGCTCCACTCAGTACCCAAGCCTTGAAGAAGCTTTGTCGGTACTTCAGAAAGCCAAACAAGTTATTCTTTGAAATGGTGGGGAGGTCATTTGCCTGGTGCTGATCCACTGAGCAGAGCAACAGTGACGATGAAACGCCTCCTGAACAGTGCCGACACATTCAGGGACGCAGAGGGAGAGATAAAACGGTGTTTTTCTAGCTAGATGAGTGGGAACATTTAAAAAAAAATCTCTTTTTGTTGATACCTACTCAGGTATGAATGTGGCCAACATGTGCAGCACATGTGAAGAAAACAAACTGCTGATGTTGAACCCGTAGCCAACATAAACCTTTACCAACACCATGTTGGTGCCTCCAGGGAAAACCTCACTTGCTGAAGCTACAACAGCCGTGCCATACACAAGTCTGAAACTGAAAGTACAACTAACTCCCTGTTAGTTCTCGTGTGTGGGTCGTTAAAAGAATATGTGACGACTTTGATGTGATGTAGAAATAGATGAATGGTCAAAAGATGGTTGCGTTATTGTTGCACTATGAACTCCAGTTGCATAAAAAGTCAATCAAGGTTCAATGCAAACGATTTTAAAGAGAAAACAAGTCTTTGCTTTGATTTTTCTGAACAACTGTAAAACTTTTTGTGTTAGCAAAACATTTTAATTTTTTCCTCATGGCTATTTTGGGCTATTTTACTGAATAGATGCTCACGAGTTCTTTTGGAAGAGGCTCACTGAAAACCTGTTTTTGCTTTTTTTTTACGCTCAAGGCCAGCATAGTGCTATTGCTAGTTTGTGTTATTTTTTAAGATGTCCTTCTAATAAATGTCTTCAGTGGTAAAGTCTGTTCCCTGAACTCCAGCTACGAGGTTTAAAGGGATTTAAAATGTCAAACATAAAGACACGGTGATATAGGCTCACTGACAGGCCTCTCTGGAAACACCTCTCCCTCGAAGTGGATGAAGATGTTCCCTGTCAGTGTCTATTGAACATGTTCTTTACATCAAAGATCAAAGCAAGCGTACGTCTCTTTTCATTATTAAGTTATTCCTGTGTAGGTGTTACCTTCAGTTTCACAACCACACCGCAACGAACGACACCTGTAGGTCACCAGAAGGGCTGTTCAGTTCCTGACAGTATTCAAATGGTTTTCTTACCTTAATCCAGTTCATCTGGAAGGGCTTAAAAAGGCTGACAAGTCATAGCATCAGTACATAAAATAAAAGCCTTGTGATTAAAGGATATCCAGGGTGCTTTTAACCCAGACATGTCTTTAGTTTGATGTTAGTTTGATAGACTTTCAAAGTACATTCCACAAGGCAGAGTTAAATATAATTTAATTTAATTAAGTTAAATTGTTCAATAATTTAGAAGTAAAAGGTATAAATCTGTAAGTGTTTCATTGGATAACAACTAATAACAACTGTGTAGTAGCTGCACAGCATTTCAGATCAAAGCAGTATTCCATTGTACCTGTCTCTACAGTTCCACTTTACACAAAAGCTCCTCCTAGAGCTAATTACTGGCCTTCAAGGTAGCTATTTGTACCCTCAAAAGCAGGTACTGAAAGGTTTACTAATAATGAAGATGGCAGAAAAAAGACAGAAAAGCAAAGAAGTAGACTGGAGGCTGTGGTTTCTTAGAGCCCTGACTGTGGATCAATCGCAGCTCCCATAAATGGAAGATCTCTCTGGTACCCCCTGGAGAGAGGATGACAAACAGAGAAAGAAGAAGGAAGGATGGGACACAGAAACAAGTACAAAGATAGTAGGGAAGGTAGGTACATTATAGATAAACGGGCAGTGTTTGGGGTGTCGGCCAGCATCAGAATATCCTAATTTTGAGTGCCAAAAAGATACACGTATGTTTGCAATATTAGTTATGTGAGTCGCTGATCATAATTTGGCAGTAATATGCTTCTCTAAGAGGGTTAGTGTGATACAGATAAATTCCCTGTGTAAAGGGTACCTTAGAGGTCAGCGTTTTGGTGAGCTTACCTTATCTTTTGAGAGTGTAAAGGTGACAAGGGTCTCTTCAGATATTTTATCAGGACAATAGGATATGCTATATATATCCAGTATAGCATATCCTAACAACTGGGCACATGCAGATTTAATACCTCATTTAAATTAAATATGATAATTATTCTGCTATTAAATATTTATTTATATTTATATTTATTTTTTATTTAAATATTTTATTAAATAGTTTCTAGAAAGGGACTGTGTGAATATTTTAGGACTCATTGTGTTTGGCTGACTGCACTGTACACTCCTGGGTATACTGAAGATATCCTTTCTCCACTGTGAGCTGAGACAGCCCCTCTGCTAACTGTACCAGATGAATGGTTGTGTGTGCTTAACCTCCTAAGACCCAAACTCTTTCATGGCATGCATTTTTAAATTCTCTTTGCTATTTGGGCTGTTTGGGACCTGATGAATATAAAAACAAAGAATTTCCAGGTTTTTTTTATACCTGATTTTATCTCTGACAAAAATAAGATTGACATACGAGGACATTTGTTTTACATTTCAATCAAACATTTGCAGTATAATGTCCTCGTAAGTGGTTATCAGGCCCTTGTAGAGTAAAATTTCATATTTTGGTCAAGACATCCCAAAATGTGATGTCCACATATGTGGACGCCAGGTCCTAGGAGGTTAATCAAATGAATAATACAGTCAAAACATGGAAAAAGCTAATTCAGATAAACTAGTCACCACATGAAAAAAATGACTTCTTAGCTGTTGTTTTACACCATAAACGGCTGCTTTCTGTAGCTCAACACATTGTGAGTGACACTGAACGCATTCTTCTGAACTAAAACATGAGCTGAAACAGGCTACTATTTATTTCAAAACACCAAGAAAAAATTCCAAGAGGAGTTTAAAGCATCTTATTTAGTGCCTGGTTAATTTACACTGTAGCTTAGTGTAGCTTTAAATCAACCATCCCTGCATTTCCTTTTTTTTCCAGTATTGTGTCTCTCTCTTCCCTTGATACTGCACCTTCTGCACACAATCACATAACAACACATACTGTGACAATCTTTTTACTTGAAAATATCTTGAGGAGCTGCTTTTTGTTTCCCCACTGATACTAACAGTCTAGTCCGTATTTTACTTTCTTCAAGGAAAAAGTAATGTGGAATCCTTCACGCTTTGTTAGAATGCGTGAAGTTGTTTTTTTTTTTTACATTAAATAACTTCAGGAATTTACAGGTTTGAAAACTATAGAAACAAGTTGAAAAAGAATTTCTGAATTCTTACCATGTAAGCTGTCCCCGTTTTGTGTGGTGCATTTCAGGCAGTGCAGAATATAATGGGAGCTGAAGGCTGACCTCTGGCTGTCACACTCCCACCATCCTCGGGAGAAAACTGTAAAGAAGGAGACAAAGGGAGATGTAAGAATAAACAAATGATTCTTACTCTTTGAAGATGTGAGGCAGCGCTGGCTTTCATGTGTTCCCACAGAGGCCCACATTCATGTGGACAATACATCTGATGTCACTCTCAATCACAGAAATCTTTACTTCATGTGCTGGAGTTCCTGAGTTTGCAGCTGCTTCATAACCAACTTTTTTTTTTACCTGAAAGTCTGAACATCAGGTTTATTTTAGAGGATTTGATGGACAAGGTGAAGGAGTAATCTGCCATCATATTTGATGGTAATCAAAGAGTTCCTTTGCAGATATTTTACAATAATGCTGCTCCTTGTGGCCACATGATTAGCTGTAAGGATGAAACTTTTCATTAGTCCACCACTTTTCTCCTGGTAAGGCCATAGCAATGGGTCAGCAATGGGTATGACCAAATCTAGACCCAGAGGCTGAGCTTCTGGGTATCTCTAAAATAAGAAAGTGTGCGACATTTCAAGTCACAGCTGTCTTCAGTTTTGCAAAAAAATATATACTTTGTCCTCTGAAATATAATCAGTTCTTGTTCTGATTATAATGTTAGATAAAGGCACCTTTGATAGCATATTTGCAGGGCTGGAACCTTTCATAACACTGAGAATTTCGAGTAAACTGTGGCTCACTGTGCACATGAAAGTGATGCATTTCACACCCGCGCACATGGTGTGATCCTCCTTGCTATCAGTCACACCCTTTGATGTGTACAAATATGGCAAATTCAAATGTAATTCATTACTTGTTGTGCACTTGCAGTACTTAAGACTGACACAAAATCTCTAGGTACAACAGTGTGCCTCTGCACCATTTGGGAACTACAACTTCACACAATAAGAAGAAGAATTGTGTGAAGTTGCTACAAAGCTACAAATGCACTGCAAAAAACAAAACAAAACAAAGCAAAAAAAAAAAAAAAAAACACAATAAAAAACATTTTTCTCAGGTTTCATAGGCTTTCTGATCATTCTCACCTAATAAAGATATTAGTGTTAAATTAATCCACCCATGAGCTCAATCACTCAATATGTGACTAATGATACCAGGTCTTAGAGACGGTTGATTATCACTGGCTTGTTTCGTCCAGAACATTTTGTTTCCACTTCAGGAAAGTAGTGACATTACTTAGAAAGAAGACTTTTATTTACATTTATTTACAGACTTTTCATGCCTGTCCTTGCTGGGAAAAAGTGTTACAAAATGTGTCAAAAATGTTAAGTTTAATTTGTTATTATTCAGCTCAGTTCAGAGCCAACAATAATACAGAGAAATTATTAAAAGACAACAAACATTATACCAAAAAATAAAACACTGTGAAGGCGAGGTTAGAGGAAGAAGCTTGAACAATGATGAAATCAGACAGCAATGAGCATCAGGCCAAAAGAAGAACAAATTTGCACTTTTATATGCGATATGAAATAAACAAATAAAATAGGATCCAAAAGATTCAGAAGGATATTTGTTCATTGGAGACCTTTTCAAAAATGCAGGGATAATGTGGATGTAGATTTTAATGATCTAGGTATCACGCTCTGAAAAAAGTGAAAATGGAAGTCGATAGAATGTTGTGGAAAATATAAAGAAATTCTGGAAATTCATAACTGTACCTAAATACAGCACCACAGGACATTACGACCCCTCTTGTGCTCGAGGTGCTGATCTGCCTTTCTCTCCGTCTCCCTGCTACAACTCCACGTGGGCGCGTATGGGCAGAAATACCTGCTTACCTCCTCCCAGGAGTAGGTGTGGCCACCTGAACTCCAGCTGTCTCTCATCACTATCAGCTGCAGTATTTAAACCCGGCTCTCCTTGTCGTTCACTCCCAGTTTGTTGTACTATGTTGTTGGTAGTATCACTTGGGCTCCCATTTCCAGTCTTACTTACCTTTGCTTGTAGCTTAGATTTATTCCTGGAGGGCCAGCTGATTGCTTGGGGAGAAGGCTGGCTCTAAGCCCATCTACAAGAACTATTGGTGAATAGTGGGAAAAGTTGGAGAGTGGAGCCTGGGGAGATATTTAGCATTGAACCTAAGAGTCAAGTTTTATGGAGATTTGGACTTTTGTGTTGAGCTCCAGGCTAATTAACCTGGGAGAGGAGCAGAGTCTGATTTGAAGGTCTGGCTGAACTACTTTGGGGATCTCGCTTCTCGAGTGATTTGATTCTTTTACTTCTAAATGAATAATCTGAGTGTGGATCCTTGCAGATTTATCCTGTGGAAGAGATTGAGCCAGACCCCCGAGAGTTTGTTTTGCATCATTCTCACTTGTTCTGTTTGCAATTTCCTCATTAAAATCTGTAACCTTTTCAGAGCATCTGCCTTCAATCTTTTGGTTAAAAGAAAGGGTAACGCATGTATTTTGAGAAGCATCCACTGCCTGACACTGTTTTGAAAGATGTTTTGTTCCACTTTCATTTGGACCTGATAATGGGCAA